GAAGACCCCCAGGCTCTTTAGGACTTTCCTGGACCTTTCAGGATTTGGGTTTCTTAGGCTGGCGTGTGGCACCGCTGTCAAGTCAGTACGCATATCCATAAGTGTGTGATTGTGTTTGTCTGTGTAACTACCTGTGTTATGACCCCGGCAACGACGACAGCTTAGTAGCAACAAAGCATTGCAAAAGCACGTTACGTTCAGCAAGTCCCAGTCAACATGTCTATTCCTTATTGAAGTTGGTGTTATTTTGGGTGGGGCACACCCACTGGTCGAACACTGTGCCTGGCAACCAAGCGGCCCCCTGATACTACAGTACTGGACCACTGGTGGGACACTGGGTCAGCCTCCAACCTAACAGCAATGGCCTCCACCCTAGTGGCGGTGTTCTCTGAAAAGGTTTCACCAGTCACCAGTCAAGATCGTCAACCTTTAAACCCCACCGTGGGGCTGTCTACGCGACCATCCTCCCACATACTTCATTAATGCCGCATGTTCCCTTTGAAATGTATATACATTGGACGTGATGTGCGGTTTGTGCAAGCCTGAACTCTGGGTGTGAATGCGGCAGCAGTAGCTAGTGCTGCCTAGCACTCATAAGAAAGCATTTCCCTTCACCCGTCCCTCCCTGCCCCTGCCAACAAACCATTCCTTTTGTTGGACACCAAGCATCCTTGCGCGGACCGCCGAACGGCACCGTCAACAGGAAGTCACACACATGACCTGAGGCTACACAGTAGCAAGGACGCTGCTAGTAGCTCCTGGCATTACTACTAGGAACAAGATGCTACTAGGCCTTACCAGTAGGAGCAAGGACGCTACTAGTAGCTCGTCGAACTTGTGGCAGGCCACGGTGGCCACCGCCCTCCGATGCGGACACTGTGGCTGACTTGTTCTCTGCGCTCTGCTCAAGGTTCTGGGGGCCAAGCCCTCATCAACCGCCCGGTCAAAGTCATATCTGAAATGGACACCCGTGGTATTGTAGAAAGTTGCAGTGAAGTGTGCAGCTAGTTCGCTGGACACCCCATGCATGATGTCCCTGGCAAAGCCTTGGCATCAGTCTGGAAAATCTCACAAACAAGGTGTAATGTTTTGATGGCAAGGACTCACACATCCTCTCTCATGCCATGCTCTCATGGCAACTTTCCACCACGACTGGTGCCTTGCGGGTCGAATGCATGCCGTGTTGAGGGTAGCACCTGCATCTCCCTTCATCTCCAAATGATGTGCCTGCGAAGTATCACAGTATTCCATCAATTTTAGTGATGCCACATCGATGCTAGAGGCCTCTTTGCGCGTATATAGTACATAATGTCCAGTAAGTCCAGTAAATATATAATGTTCAGTACATGATTAGGAGGCGACAAATCAACCAAGCAAACTAGCAAGCTACGAAGTGCAACACATACCGTAAGTCATTGTATGTTGAGCATTCTTGGATCCACTTGGCAACCGGCCTCGTCAACAATTTTGATCCGAAAGGTGTTCCCACGAAGCCGATACGCAGAAGCATACACGCAAACCTGGGCCATGCTCTTTAAGATAGAAAGTCTCTGCAATCGCAGTCGAATCATACCGTGCAGGGCTGCATTTGAAGTGGCACAAAACAGTTTACATCTTCATTCCAGGTAGCGATAACTGGGGCACTCCAGTCCAATTCCTTGGTGGAAGGTTTCTGGTGCACTTGGAGTTCAGAACCCGATCCCTGGAACTTCTGATCGGGAGGGATGTGAAGAGCTGCCTCCACTCTTGTTTCTCCTGTTTCCGCTACAGTACTTCCACTGTCCCTACATTATATAATATATATGTATGTGTGTGTACGTATAGTTGTACAATGTTATACAAGGGCTCAAGTATGTTCTTCGCGCTCAAGCATTGAATGAAGGTGATTCCGATTCCTAAGCTTCTTTCCGGGTTCAGAAAACAGCCTCGTTTGTGAAACGAGTTTCCCTGATTTGCCTGTTGAGTTGCTTGCTCCTCGTTTGTCTCTGATGTTGGGGTCACTGTCTTCAGAGGAGGGGCTTCGCCGTTCTTGGCGTGCAGTCTGTTGGGCAAAAAGCCACTATTCAGGGCAGATCTTCAAGTCCAAATAGCACCCCAAACATCGAGTTGCCAAGCAAAGTGCCAGAGTTGGTTTCCTCCAGTGCTACTTGAAGATTGTTGGACGCTTGGGGATCAAGTCCTCTTAGCCGCGCTTGCCCTTCAAAGACTAAGGCAGGGTTTCCCTTGCACCACCAGGAGTTATATATCTTTTTGGTTTTTCTAGCTCCATTGAAAGCAGAGGTGGCAGAGGCCGGATTCAAACCTTAGAGGCTGGATCTCTTGGTGGTCGGTTTGTCAGATACAAAGACATCATGCCTGGCTTTTGAGACCTTTTTCTTGCTTTCGAGAGTCTTAGCTTGCAAAAGGGACGGTGACCAGGTAGAACTGATAGATTTGCTCGGACCTCATTTGACTCTTAAGATCCCAGCGGCATCTTTGTTTGGTTCAGGACAAGGTCCTCAGATTAATCAGATGAGATTTCAGTGTAGGAGTCGCCCTGGTGGACTTGACTTCAAACATTGTGCCTCGCATTTGGCTTCATCGGTGGCTTCTTTGGTAGAGCTGGACATGCTGGTCCGCTTCGACGATGCAGATCTCGCTACGGCTTCAATCTCACTCCGCAAACGAGGTCCAGAAACGCCTGTAGAGGAGGCCGAGGAGCAGGAAGTAGATGAGCAGCAGGCTCAAGTGGCTGGTCGTCAGAACATCTCCCAACATTGCCTCAGGTCATAAAGCAGCTATATACAAGATCTTTCCGAGGATGGCAGCAATCGAAAGCTTGCTCAAACAAATTGCCAGTCCTTCGACGGTCTTGGTGCTGCAGCTATGCTTGGCTCGAAGTAACCCTCAAATCCGAGAGCACTTTTACAAGAGATGCTCCTCCAAAAGATTTCTTGACCCCCTTACAGCTGTGTCAGTGGCGGAGGCCCTCTTGGACATGGGGGAGGCGCCTGCCCTTCACCAAGCAATGTTGGAGCCATCAAAAGCGTCGACCGCCTTGGTGCAGCAAATTCCCATAGGAGATGCACAAAGGCCAGTGCCATCTACTATGATGGCTTGGTCAGCTTCCTGGATTTGCATTTGGGAAGTGTCGCAAGTGTCATCAAGCAGAAGGAGGTGAGAAATTCTGGTTGGAGCCTGCTGTAAAGGGCCTTGAGAACTTGAGAGCGTGATTTTGGATGGTTTTGCTGTTGTGCCTGGATGGACAGTTGAAAAGTCTTGGGAATGGAAGGGCGTGAGTTGAAAATTGAAAAAACACATCTTAGCAGCAGGTCATCGGACACGTTCAGTTCTTCTCGACCGCCGTGTTGCTAAAGGGGCTCACGCGTAAGGCGGAAGTTCCTACCTCTCTGGGGGCTTCACTGTGCCAGGCCTGTGCAATTGCAGTCATTGGAAAAATCATGAAAAATCCATCCTGTGGCTTTGAACCTACCAAGCTGACAACTGATGCCCCGACAAGAGACAGAGAGCTTGATGTACGAGTTTTGCACTCAATCATCGGTTCTCTTTCGGTTCACCAGGTTTCGCAAGTGAGTTCTCAAGAGCTGCTGCCCGTACTACTAGGAGCAAGAAGCTACTAGGGCTTAGGGGCTCCTGGCATCGCTACTAGAGGCTCCTGGCCTTACTACTAGGAGCAAGAAGCTACTAGGGGCTCCTGGCATCGCGAATTGGATAGGTGTTCCATTCTCACCATCTCTTGCCCCCTGCTTTTCTGGTGGATTTTGGTCTAGTATTCAGGTCGCTTCACGACGACAACCGCCTGCACCAGTGGCTTTCAGAGAGAGAGAGAGAGACGGTAAAAGAAGGTATCCATAATAATCACTGGATTTTTGGACCCCAGTGATGATTTGTTTAGTTATGTCTTACCGGCATTCTGCACTGCAAGCATTGTTGGAGACATTTACGACCCCGTTGAACTTGTACACTTTGCAGCAGGTCGAAATAATACTAACTTGCATGCACTTTACGCATGCCCTTCCAACCAGCTGATGCATGTGCTACCATAATTGACTATACAATTGCAACCCGTTGTTGCATATGGCACAGTGAGGAGTCGTTTGTTTGCCTTTCGTGGACGTGGTGATGCAAATGATACGACAATGAGAAATACAGTCAGGCACAAATGATATGCGAAAACCTTGTATTTGTCAATGTTTTCTCCCACTGCCTCTCCTCATGATGCAGGATATGCATGTCGATGTTCATTCCCAAACGAAAATGGCCCGCCTCTCCCTAGCTAAAGCTATATAGTGATGAAAGCGCTAGTTGCAGTTTAAGGCCTCAGCACGATTCGGTGCGGGCGGAATTCTGTCTTTTCTCTCAGACCAGGATTTGGTCCTTACTCATCCTTGACTTTGGGCTCCTATCGTCTTGCTAACAGCTTTGTCTTTCGGGGTGCTTGGATTTTGTGACTTTCCCTCGTCCTGCACCTCCATCCGGTGTAGTAGCCCTTAGTTTTCCACAGATTTCCCTTTCATGCCGACACCATAGGCATGCAGCGAGTTGAAGGAAAGAAATCCACAGAGCCCAACGGAGGCAGCAGCTGCATGCTGACCGCATGGATAGGAGTGTATTGCAATTGATGGTTGTTGTCATGTCACTTTGAAAAACGTGCTTGCAGTGCATAGTTGGATGCCGAGTACGTTCGGCAACGGCATGGCATTGACCAGATGGACATTGCTGGTCTTTTGGGTGCGGTGCATGGGAGCTTTCTACCTACTGCACCTTTGTGGCACATGTCACTGTTGACCGAGAGAAAAGGCTGAAATGTCAAATTGTGTTTTCGGCTTTGATAGGCAGGTCCTTCTGGAGCTGGAGATTTATGTAGGCGTACAGGCGTACAAGTGCCCAAATGTCCACCTTGCTTCTGTTTTGCTAGGTGCCTCCTTCTGGGGTTGCAAAATGTGTTTAGAAGTGCAAGTGCACAAATGTCTCATGGGTTCCTCCTTGCTCTCGGTTTTCTTGGGTAGGTCCTGCTGCAGCCTGCTGCAGATTGGAAATTTGTGTATATAAATGTGCCAGCGTAAGGATGTTTCTGAGGTTCCTCCTCGTTTTCGGTTTTGCCTAGGCGGCAGGCTTGTTCCCAGCTGGGATAGCCCGAGAAACTGAAACCCAACTGCATCCTCATGCTGCCACACAAAACCCACAGCCATCACCTGACAGGGTCAGGGCAGCATTCTGAACACAGAGGCTTCCAAGATGGTACCAAGCAACAGCACCCAGTTCTGGAGTTCGGGCGCCGGTGACAAACTCTGCAACGCCCCCAGCTCCCAGAGATTGACACCCAACTGCATTCTGCTGTTGGGGATTGAAGGTTTTAACGCAGAATTTTAACGCATGTATGTTACAGTAACCCAATTCCGCAGTCTGTTAACATTTTTACGCATTTTAGAGCTTTATTTTTAGCCGTGGGCCATGGGCTATAGCACTTCCAACACAGCTACTGTCACCACCACCATTCCTAACGCTGCCCGGTTCCTGCGAAATGCCCCGCCAACAAGGGAATAAAAAGTCTGACTGCAGGTCTTGAGCAAACAAGAGCTGAGAGCTGGCTCTTTTCAAAAGGACGCTACAAGGGGCTCCTGGCCGTACTACTAGGAACAAGAAGCTACTAGGGGCTCCTGGCATCGCTACTAGGAGCAAGCACGCGTGACACACTAGTACAATCGCAGCTGGGCAATGGTCAGCAGCACATCTGAACAACGGACATGCAGTGGACATACTTGGATAGCCCAACCATGACATTTGCGCTGACATACACACACGCGCATACCTGCAGAACACATCAAATCAAGGATGCATCTTTAAGACCTTTAAGACCTCTGGGTGACACCATCCCACCCTGTCACCCAAAAGCACATGATCTTCTCATCAGCTTCGCGGCATTTCTGTCTGTCGTCTGATGTTTCCGTGGCTCAAAGCTTGCACAAGTTTATGCCTTGTGCCCATTCCAAGTGAATGGCGACATATGCCGGCATGATATGCACCCTCCTCAAAAAAATCTGCTTGTTCTCAATATCCAGGAGCCACATTGCAGGTCGATGTTCCACCACCTCCAGCACCACCATGGTCACTGACCTGATATACCAAATCAGGAACAAACCTGAAAGAGCCAGGCTGGGTTAACTGCTCTGTTGCGCAGCACCGGGCAAGCGGTTCACTATCTTGAACCTGTTGTTGCCGATGGGCTTCAGATGCCGCTCATGACCAGACCGACCCTTGTTGCCATCACTCGCCTCTCAGCCACCGTGAATGAAATCTGACCCGCGCTCCGAACACACAAAACACGCAAGGTCGGCAAGGCCCAAGGCCTCCCACGTAAACTGACATGACATTTCAGCTCTTTACGGCCGCTTCGAAATGCTATTATTCTGAGGTTCTTGACTCCTTGCCCTAGCCAGGAATGTTGAAACTTAGAGCAAAATCCTGCTGTCACGGCGCATTCCAACGACTTCCTTTAGGCATCAAAGCACGAACGAAGCATTCTAAACACCGTGCACTATATATAATCTACAATGACAAGAAACCTACCATTTGCATCGCGCACGAATCCCACACTCATCACATGCACTCCGAAAGCATTCTGCCCAATAAGCTTTTACCAAGGACACTTCCGGACACTCACGCACGACGCCCAACAACTAACTGATTCCAACCTAGGATCTCAATCTCAGGAACCAGATTGACAAAAGGACTGTGTGGAATTATTGGACATGCAACATCTCTGCGATGTTTTGGATCTTCAGGGCAGTCAATTCACACACCCCAATGCGACATTGCATGCACATACAGTAGACGTTACTTCGGCATTCTACGGGTGCTCTTTGCCACTTCTTGTTTGCAAACGTAGGACATGAAAACTCCCAGCCCAGCTTGGCATTCAAGAAGCGGTGCAGCCATCTCCAATGATGCAGGATTTCACGCCAAGTCGTTCCAGTTCTGCTGCTGTCTGCCTGCTGCAGTCTAGCACACGGGCTAGAAATGTCTTCCTGATTCTGATCCTGATCGCTTTCTTTTGGACCAGGCAATAATAAACCCAGAAGAGCGACCACATTATTAAACATCAGAGTAAGGTCGAGTGGGTCAAAGTAAACAATCTACAGTACCTTGGCAACTCTCGCTGAGCGTCACTCAAAGGGGCATATCAACCAAGCAAGCGCCAACATCTGTAGTGTCGCTGGTCAGGCCCTATTTGTGACATGCAAAGTCTCTCCATGCGGTCGGCCAAGGCTATTGGATTTGGGAGTCACGGTCCACCTCAAAGTCCTCTGCAACATGGTCAGGTCTACACAACCAATCATAGCAGGGGGTCACTGATCCCTGTGACAATGCTGTCACTCAACAAAGCTTGTTGAGGCCTGGCCAAATCTCGCCATGGCACGAAGATCACGTGGTGACCACCAGGGTGCCTTGGCCATCGTGGCCATCAGTTGAAACAGATCCCAGTGTTTGTGCACACTTATCACGATATGATTCCGTTCATGGAGTCTCTCTCTATATATGTATACTGTATATGTATATATAGTAGATTCCGGACTCTGGACTCTAGAGTCGGATCTCCGATGAAGAATGCAGCAATTGGATAACACCATAAAACATCGTGCTATATACAAATATATATATATATATATATATCTATCACTAGGTGACAGGTGGTTCTAAGTTGATGAACATCACTACAACAACATGATGCACCAAATCAAATTGGACATGTTTGTTTCCCATTGCGTTCTGGCATCCTCTGCTCTGAGAACCATCCACTGGAATTCAAAGACATGTCTTCTTGAAACACCTGCATGATAACCAGAAGGAGGATAACAGCGTTTGAGCAGCTTGCAAAGCCTGAGCCTTATGCACAGAGCAATGCGCTCAAATTGACACTGCACAACAAGAGATGGCTACCTAAAACTGGTAAGACAAAGGCTTCCACGAAACAAAGCGAATCTTTGAAGCGAGAAATGCCTTGCCACTTCACCTCCAGCCCTTGATGCTAGATTCCGACTGCGGCAAATGTTTGCAGGCAAAACCGTGCAAAACGACAAACCTGCAACAGCCCAATGAATACGAGTGGCTCTGCCATATCTCCTGAGCTAGAATTCACGCAAACTTTAGGCAACATCTTGAACATGTGAGGCAAATCTGCTTGAAAGATAAAGCTTGAAACCCCGGTGCTAAAGAACAGTTGTTAAATGCATATCATTGGGTTAAACAAGCTATCAATCCAAATTGCGGGATGCACTGTTTCGAGATGTGCAATGCATAATATGTAATGCACAATGATAATAACAATACGAGTACCACATATATATAATGTTATAATTATATATATAATACATTACATGCATACTTGGGACAACAAGAAGCACGCAAAAATTTGCACTTGAGACCTTCCGAAACCCAAACTCAAAGAGATGAAGGGATGTCACCGGGTGCGAAAAACATGTGCTGCAACGTGATGGTCCGGAATCTTCACGCCAACTGGCCCACCGTCCAGCCCGAGACACACGAAGCTCAGAGATATTGGAGTCGGAGCCAATCCACCGTTTATATTTTCTGTCTACTATAACTTAGCAGGTCTGCAATGGCAGGTCAGTCAGAACATTAAAAATCAGAGAGGGAAACGCTATGATTCCTGTGAATAATAGTAAGGCAACTTTGGGTAACAGCCACCAGACTTTGGCAATGAGGAAGGTTTCAGTTTCCTAACGTAGGAAGAGAAAGCATCAGGAAGAGGCAAGTAAGCTTCCACCGTCACGACAAGGAAAGAGCCTGGTTGAAGACCAAGCAACAGTTCTACAAATCTCTAACCATAGGCCCGGATTGTCAAACCTCGTAGCGAGGAAAGAGAGCGCAAGACCAACTCATATAGCTACTGGCGAGAGATTCTTGAAATCTTGGAGCGTAAATCCAAACAAACAGCAGCCAGCACTGGCAATGCGAGCCATGGGAACATTTCCACCCGCCAAAACGGTCAGGGCCTGGGACAGCCTGCCCCATTCCTGCGTGATCCTGCCTGCACCAGTCGCCGCTGATTTCAACAGCGCCCACTTTGCGAGAGGAGGATTCCAAAACGGAAAATGATTGCAAAGAAGGGGCCTTCCAGAACATTCTTACCCAAGCTTGTATTATTTGTCATGAGCGGGTTTGAAAGGAATACGTGGACATGTCTCGAAGAGGTCAATAGAGGTCTTCCTCTCTCTGAGGTCTCTCTCCCTCTTCCTGTCCCTCTCCCTCTCCCTCTCCCTCTCTCCCTCTCCCTCTCTCCCTCTCCCTCTCTCCCTCTCCCTCTCCCTCCCTGACCCTGCTCAAAGGGCGTGTCATGATCGGTCATTTCTGGAATTCTTACTTTGCAATCGCATTATCAGATCCAAACTGGCTGAAAAAGCTATTTCCTTTTGCTTTGTGCGCGGGAATGCTCGTAGTGAGAAACGCAGAAACTACCAGAATCAAGTTTCTATTGGTGCGCATGAGGTCAGAGGACTTCACAGACAGGAGACAAGGCAGCTCTCAAAAGAGCAAGCTGAGCAATGGAAGCGAATGTGAGATCTCTCCTTTCAAACTAACTGGCACCAAGCCTCATCGCCCACACACCAACCACACTCACTACATGGTAACCAACTCACTAGTGGAAAGGTGCAAAATGGCAAGCCACTCTCTCAGCACAAGACACTACATTTACTACATTCACTGCATTCTTAGGTCTTTGGGGGCAACTTTGGACATGCTTCTTCTGATGATCAAAGCGTAGGTGAAGGTTTTGCCAGTGCCACACGCCATCTGAAAGCGAAGGCCATGCCCTTCGGCAGCCTGAAACAAAGCGGAAATGACTGTTCCAGAGCACCTGACGCAAACAGGAAATGTTTATTTGGTTTATATAAGTAACGCCTGCTTCTGACTAGCAAATAGGGGGCTCCCCCCAATCAGTGGAGAGGGGAGGATATTCTGAAAAGGGAAATGAAAGGAGACGAATATTGGGGAAGATTCGTGGATATTCGTGGAATGAGTATTGGGGTGAGAAGGGAAGGAGTCAATTGGGCAGGCCGTGCCCCAGGTGGTTCTAACTGATCGAGTTCGAGTTCAAGTTCGAGTTCGGGTTCGAGCTCGGTGCGCGAGATTGCGTGGATCGAGCGAGAGGGGGGGTGGACCAGTTCGAGTTCGAGTCCGAGTTCGGATCGACAACAATTATAGAGCCGGGGGTGGACCAGTTCGAGTTCGAGTTCGAGTTCGAGTTCGGATCGGTGACTAAGGGACTTATAAGGGGGGGGTGAAACTGCAGTTCGTGTTCGAGTTCGGATCGACCCACAACAACAGCAACGAGAACCAACAGCAACGACAACAACCACAACCGCAATCGCCACGACCCACAACAAAGATAACAAAGAAGAAGAACAGGAACCAACCAAGCTAGCAATTAGCCCAGCTGGAGACCCCAATAGCAAGATACAAACCGGGACAAAAAGAAAAATCTGGAAACAGCTGCTGTTTTTCAACACATCGGCCATCTCTTCCTTGGACACCATCATCACATAACCGGGACACCATCACAAAATGACTAGGGCACCATCAAAACATGACCGAGACACCGTTACAACATGATTGGGACACCATCACAACATAACCGGGACACCATCACAACGTGACCGGAACACCAGCATGACATGACGGGGACACCATCACAACATGACCGGGACACCAGCATGACATGACGGGGGCACCATCACAACATGACCGGGACACTATCAAAACATAACCGGCACACCGCCAAAACATGACCAGGACACCATCACAACATGACCGGGACACCATCAAAACATGACCGGGACACCGTCACAACATGAGCGAGACACCATCACAACATGACTGGGACACCGTCACAACATGACTGGGACACAATCACAACATGACCGGGACACCATCACAAGGTGACCGGGACACCAACATGACATGACGGGAAAACCATCACAAGATGACCAGGACACCATCACAACATGACCGGGACACCGTCACATGACCCGGACACCATCAAAACATGACCGGCACACCGCCAAAACATGACCAGGACACCATCACAACAGGACCGGGACACCATCAAAACATGACTGGGACACCGTCACAACACGACCGGGACACCATCAAAACATGACCGGGACACCATCACAACATGACCGGGACACCATCAAAACAGGACCGGGACACCATCACAACATGACTGGGACACAATCAAAACATGATCGGGACACCATCACAACATGACCGCGCCACCATCACATGATCGGGACACCATCAAAACACGACCAGGACACCATCAAAACATGACCGGGACACCATCACAACATGACCGGGACACCATCAAAACATGACCGGGACACCATCACAACATGACCGGGGCACCATCAAAACATGACCGGGACACCATCAAAACACGACCGGGACACCATCACAACATGACTGGGACACAATCAAAACATGATCGGGACACCATCACAACATGACCGCGCCACCATCACATGATCGGGACACCATCACAACATGACCGGGACACCATGACCGGGACACCATCAAAACAGGACCGGGACACCATCACAACATGACCGGGACACCATCAAAACATGACCGGGACACCATCAAAACAGGACCGGGACACCATCACAACATGATTGGGTCACAATCAAAACATGATCGGGACACCGGGACACCAGCATCACATGACCCGGACGCCATCAAAACATGACCGGGACACCATCCGCCCACCAGCTCTGACGGTGACCCAACGGCGCCCGTCCGCCTATTAGTTTTGCAAGACCCCATAGCATGGCTATTGGGGAACAAAGCAATCAACCCGTTGAAAGTATCCGTAAGAAGCCATTGCAACGTACCACTCCTTTCGTGGGCAGTTCGAAGGTAAAATTTAGAAAAGGAAGAAGCCATTGCAACGTAGCGTGCCTTTTGTGAGCCACCCGAGGGTAAAATCTAAAATTTAGAGTAGGAAGGAGCCATTACAACGTAGCATTCCTTTTGTGGGCCACCCGAGGGTAAAACTTAGAGCAGGAAGGAGCCATTACAACGCAGCATTCCTGTTGTTGGCCATTCGAGGGTGAAATTTAGAATAGGAAGGAGCCATTACAACGTAGCATTAGTTCGAGTTCGAGTTCGAATTCGAATCGACGACTGTGATTTTGGAGTTCGACTCCTTCTATTCGTCCACCGGGTTGACTTCTAACTGTTCCAGTTCAAGTTCGAGATCGAGTTCGAGTTCGGTTCCTTCCATATATCCTTTCAGGGTTGAGTTCATCTATAAGTATACAGTAACTGTTTCAGTTCGAGTTTGAGTTCGAGTTCGAGTTCGAGCGGGGCACACTATGCAATTGGGGAGGGTTCGAGGGTTCCGGGAGCCTGGATTGGATTGAGAGAGACATGAATCATAAGACCCTTCATCGGCAGCCCAGTAGGGAGTTATATTAATTGTAATTTTCAATGCATTTGTGTGGGGCATGTGTTGATGGACAGGTAGACAAACAAACCCATTGGCCCATTGGTCTTTCTATTTGTATATAATCGTTTTTTTACCCGGGCTTAATAGATGGATGGATTCGAAAAACAAACATAAGATACCACTGTGCGTGTGTGCATGCATTTTTCTGAAAATCATCGAGCATCCTGAGCACACCCACTGCCTTTAAGATCCTTTAAGGTCTTCTTAGCAAGGCCATGTCCTCGTCGTGGTCAGCCAGCTGCTGGGTTTGGAAGGCAAAACCTTCTTAGACTTTTGTGTTTCCCCGGCTGCGAGGCTTAGGGGCTTTCAGCCATAGTAAAGACTTCTGATAAAGACTTCTGAGGAGATCGGAGCAAGTTCCAGAGCAGTTTGCGGAGCAAGGTTCCGGCACAGCAGGTCCTCGAGCAGGTTCTGGAGCAAGTTCCGGAGTAGGTTCCGGAGAGCTGACATGTTCTATATGCTGGCTGTGACGTGTTATCAGGCTGTCGTGCTGACATGTTGTCGTGCACACTGACACGGGTTACGCTAACATCCTAACACTGGCAGGCTCCAGAGCGGGTTCGGGAGTTCCGCGGTTGTTGTTTCATCGCTGTCATGCTTGCACATATGCCATATGTCGACATATGTGGGCAGGGCAGGATCTACTAGGCGAATTGATGCCGATCTTTTTGCTTTCATTTTGGACCTGAGACACATTTTTCTTTCTTCACACCTCTTTCTTTGAACAAGCACTGGAGGCACATTGATACAACACACCATGCACAGCAGCAAGCTCAAAAACCGTGCTTAGGCATGATTGATGCATGCACGGCCGGTGTCATCAAAAAGCGGCCCATCGGAGCCATGGTAAGCTCCTCAAAACTGACCCTAGCAATGCTATCCTTTTCCCATACAGCCCTACAGCCCATAGCATTTGTCATTCGACCCAGGGCTCTTACCCGCAAATTGTGGCCTGCTTGACATTCTTGAAGAAGAAGTCCACGGCCTCTTGCTGGTACGCCCTGGCCCTCAGCCAACACATTTGTGAAACTCAGATTTCGAAGAGAAGGCACAAGAAGCTAGGAGCAAGGATGCTACTAGGGGCGCTCCTGGCCTTACTACAAGGAACATGAAGCTACTCGGAGCACAGGGCATCGCTACTAGGAGCAAGGACGCTATTAGGGGCGCTCCTGGCCTTACTACAAGGAACATGAAGCTACTCGGAG